GGGAATGACTCGGCTAATAGCGAAAGGGAAAAAAGCGACTTGTTTGCTCGTCATTTCAGGCAAGTGTTCCATGATTTCTCCGCTTCGCCGGCACAAGTGCTGGATGCTACTGTTGGGATGCCACGTGATGTGTTTAGTTTCGATATTCCGCGCATTTCAGAAGTCATGGTGATAGCCGCAACACGCAAACTGAAGCTCTCGTTCGCCGCCGAACCTGACGGCATTCCGTCATCAGTTCTAAAACGTTGTGTAGCCAATCTCTGCCTTCCACTTGCGAGGCTATTCAATCTTTCGGCACAGCAATGTGAGTTCCACTGGTGCTGGAAACTTTCTTATCTGTTCCCAGTCTACAAAAAAGGAGATAAACGGAATGTCGCAAATTATCGTGGAATCACCTCCCTGTGTGCCTGCTCAAAACTGTTCTAGATTGTCATAAATGATGCTCTGTTTGCATGGATTCAGGATGGCAAGTCGATGCTGCGTATATGGATCTAAAAGCTGCATTTGATACGGTGGACCATAATATCTTGCTTGCTAAGCTGGAGATACTTGACGTCTCGTCAACGGCTGTGGATTGGTTCAGAATCGCTATGTACGGGTTAAGATTGGCGCGTCAGAATCGGATGTTTTCTCAAACAACTCGGGATTTCCGCAAGACAGTAACCTAGGACCGCTACTGTTTTCGATCTTTTTAAACGACGTCGCCTTTCTGATACCATCAGGATCCCGCGTTTTCTATGCAGACGGTACGAAAATCTACAAAATTATTAAAAGTCTCTCGGACTGTTGGGATCTCCAGAATATGTTAGGTATTTTTGCTGACTGGTGATCAAGAAATTTGATGAGTCTAAGCATCGAAAAATGTAACATTATTTCCTATCACCGAAAAATCGAACCAATCATGTTTGACTATGTTCCCTACGGACGCTGTCTTGCTCGTGTAGAGCACATAAAGGATCTCGGCGTTACCTTGGACTGCAGACTCACTTTCAGAATCCACTACAATGACATCATATCCAGAGCTAATCGACAATTGGGCTTTATTTTCAAAATTGCCGACGAGTTCCGTGACCGGCTATGCCTCAAGGAACTAGTTGGTTGCTTGTCATACGAACCCCTTACCACTAGACCGGATCTGACAGCGGCAGTGAACTTCTATAGCCAGCTGCAGAGCTGCCCCAGCGATGAGCACTGGACTCATCTGAAAAGGATACTGCGATACGTCAACGGATCGCTCGATTTCGGCCTGGTCTACCGTGCGGATAAAGCAGCGCCGCTGCTGGAGGTCTTTTCGGATGCCGACTGGGCCAACGACTCCTCTGATCGTCGTTCCGTTAGTGGTGGTGTGTTTAAGGTGTTCGGAAATAGTCAGCTGGCTCACCAAGAAGCAACAAACCGTCGCTCTCTCATCGACCGATCCAGAGCTGACAGCCCTCTGCGTGGTGGCCTGCCACGAGATGTGGATGAGCCCGTCTCCTGCACGATTTGGGATACAGGAGCAAGGAACCGATCTGCGTGTACAAAAATAATCAGTCTGCTATGAGGATCGCAGACACCACTGCCTAGAGAAATAACAAAGACAACAACAACTCCGGTTTTCATTTCATGTTACTCTTTTCTTGAATAAACACGTTTTCTTTGAACTAGTTAGTTCCTCGTGTGGTCATCCGAAAACCCACTTTACAAAATATGTGCCCGTGTGAAATTTTTTGAAGGTTTAGGCACAGACAAGCATACATAGCGTTTTGCATATCGTTTACTGTAAAACATCATCGCTTAAACACTACCGCCATCTGTTACTCTGTCACGGGCAATACGCTCAACAGATGGTGGTATTGTGTAAACGTCAAACGCAAGCACGGTCGTTCAGACCGACTCAAAATTGAGAGAAAAAGATCATAACCTTTATAAGTGGGGTATGAACCCAATAACTTAATTAGCTTATCTTTTCATATTTTAGTGTACACAGAAAAAAATTCTGAATTTTAACTATCGCGTAAAATCTCCCTTCGTTTAATATTGAGCTATACTTGGCATAAAAAGCGAAATCGTTTACAAGCTTGCATACAATATTACTAATTTATGCGAAATATCACGTAAATGTATGCCAAATCAAGCGTTAATTTTATGTGCGCTATATCTCGCAGAAATTTACATGATTTTTTCAAACGGTGCATAATGCACAAAGGTTTTTGAAACATTAGCATACTCCAAGACTGAGTCAAATTTTCATGGATTTTACTCATATTGGACAAGTTTTCCTGGTATTCCACGACTTTTTCCCGGAAAATTCAACTCAATTTCGAGTAGATCCACTTTTGCCGAAATTAAGTCGACTCGACTCAATTTTGAGTCGGTCTGAACGACCGTGAGGAAATTGACTATGATCGTTACAGGCGGCGGACTACCAACTAGGAAAAATTTAAGTGATTGATGAACAAGATGCGAGTGTTATGTCGCTGTATCGTGGTTCAGGGTTCTCGACTAAGTACTATGAAAGATTTTATGCGTGAAAACCCAGGGGTAGGTCACTCCGCACACCAATCTTGAGTCATTTTTTTTTAGTGTGCCGCAAGTGTGCCGGTCATAGAGCAAGCTGCGGTTGTTTATAGAATACCCATCCCGGCAACCCGGTATTCCTGACACCTTGAATGTTTTGGTTTGAAATCGCAAGGATAAATCGGTCTATTGGCATTTCGGATTTAAATCTATACGTGAACCGAGAAGTGAACTGCTGGTCTGAGTTCCTCTGGAATATTTAATAAGAGGATGTTCTTCTAAACAGCACGTAATGTTGTGAACAACTTCAGTGACCAGCAGTGCTCCCATTTGATTTACAACAATAAAATGCCTACGAAATTGTGCCGATGGATGTGCCCAAGCTGTGCCGAATCTAATTGCGGGACAATGTGCTGAGTGACGTACCCCTTGGTGAAAGCATGTATTTTATTTTATATCACACAAAGTAGGCACTTGTCTCAGAGCTTTACACGATCCCTATTTCCGTCTCCATTTTAAACTATATTAATTCAACAGATACCGTCGATAAGCTTCGAAAGGATTGCTCAAAAGTGGTTAATTTCTGGTTCAGTTAATAGGGTAAGATGGGTCATTTATTTGAATAATTTATATTTTTGATTGGCAACATCGACAGGCTTAATGTAGCCCCAATGCTGGTTTGAAAAAGCAAACCATCATTGGATGCAAACCATGTTGATATTGACAAACAAATAAATTAATAAATGTACAAGCGGACCCATCTTGCCCCACCTTACCCAAGTGCCATGGCTTAAAACATTGAGGTTCAGATATTTTATAATAAGCTAGTCGAACTTTTACGCTTACAAATATCTAAAATTTTTAGATGCAAACTTGAATACCGTTCTTTAACTAAATCTGGCAAGATTTTTATAAATCTCAAAACCTATTTAGGGTAAATGGATGTAATATCGGCCTAAATGCCCCTAATTTGGGCCCATACATAAATTCAGCAATCGACTAAATTTTCAATAGCGACCAAAAATATCCATTAGTACCGTCCCAATGACGCGTTCATCTAGATAAAATTGATAAATAGCAGATTTTTAGCGATGAGCACAATCTTAGATCGTTAGGATAAAAATTGAGCCATATCCCCTATATTAAAAATAAATATTGTACTAAAATTACACTCTACTAAACGACTGTCAGAATTTGTTTTCCTATCTAAAAACTTTTGACGTTTTGAAACTTCGCACACTTATGTTTGACCTAATATGGTAATATCAGCCAATTTGGTTACAAATTCTTGATTCAAAGCCTAAATTTTTCATATCACCGATATTAAAAAAATGCAACGATCTTCGGGTTGCCTCTGCTCACTTCGCTATAAAAAATGTTTTTCTAAATTATAGAATCATTAGATGTTATAATGATATATTTTACTGGTAAGTTACAAGAAGAGGTTACGTCACAACCTCTTCTTGTAACTTACCTGTACATACTATCATTATAACATCTAATGATTGCATAATTTTTAAAATCCTTTTTTTATACCGATGTGAGTGGAAGCAACCATGGTTACAATGAACAATTTTCATCAATAGAAACCGTTGAGAATAAAACTTTTGTAATATGTACAGCACATTCTTCGCATGAATCACTAAAAGTCAACCTCAATCGCGACCATCAAATGCCAAATCAACTTTCATTTATGCCTTTTCCCGCATTTCACTAGATTTAAATGGATTAGCTCTAAAATAAGCCCATGCAATCACAAACTACGCTACACCTATTTCCGCTGTTATTTGTCGTTCCCATACACCCATGCACATAAAACTTATCCATTGCTCTGGGCTAGTAGTCTCATAATAAGTCCTCAATACGTCCATTTGTGCACTTCGACAAACCGCACTTCCTTCACCACAACAACCCACAGCCACAGCCACGGTCAGTGGGCAATCACGGATCCAAGGATTGAACCAATTTCGCATCGAACCATTCACCACATGCCCACATCGAAGCAAGCGATGCCGCACTTTAATTGCCAGGATTAGAGGCCCACTTCGATCATCGAAAGTGTTCCGCATCGATGGATAATCACAGCGTAGGCCACTCTTTGTACCCCTTCATTTTCATCACCATTGAGGCTACTTGGATTCCGTTGATTGTCGGTCATTTTCAATTTGCATTGGCGCAGTGTTCCTTCACTCGCTATCCATAACAAGCATGCACACTTCTGTCCACCAGTTTTTTTTTAACGTCCATATTCACTGCGAATTATTAGTCTCAAATTATGTTCAAACCACCCATCAATCACTTTTATGTTTCTTCGATTCGCTGCTATTGTTCGAACCACTCGAGCTCTAAACACGCACGTGATCAGGCGTCCTTTGCTTATTCAATTTTTCTTCACTAAAAAAAAAAACCAAAATATTTGCCACTGCCAAATGCTGCCGCTGATACACTGCAACTGCTCCTAAATCCTTTTGTTTCTGTCCTTAGCCAGGACTCCAACCAACCTTCATTGCCGCGTGTGTGCTGCGCGCCTCACGAAACTAGTCACACTGATAGTCGGTCGCACGCTGTCAACGGATTTTATACCACGGACATATGAACTCACGCCGGGGTTGCCGAAAAATTGTATAACCCCATCATCCGTGCATTGTTGTGGAGCATTCCTGCCAGCTACTGCCGTCGACTCCGAGGGATGAGAGAGAGCGAGCGATGGGGGTTTCAAGAGCCAACATCGGCAGCATCTTCTACGATCGATCGATCGTAGCAACCGGCGTTTTGATTGTTGTTGGCGAGGAAGCATCGAAGCAGGCGCACGTGTGTGGACTTAGGTAGGTTCTCTCGCGAATTCCGAACGAAAGGGAGAGTGCGATGTTTTTTCTTTCCGTCGTCGCGTCGTCTCGAATCAAGGAGAGAGAAAAGCGAGAGTGTAAGCTGAGAACTGCGGGAAAGTGGGGGCAAAGGTATGCGTATTTTTCCATCCAATCTGCGACTGACCATGAATGGGTTGGGTGATGTTATTAATCGCTGCGTAACATGATAAGCGGTGGAGGAACTGATCTCCGAGCTGAATATGTTTGCCTTCGTGTGGTTGCGAGCATCTTCAAGAAGCTGCAACGAATGACCTCGAAAGACCGTAGACAACAGGTTCCTTTGATTAGCTCTCACATGGCAAATGTCGCCGACGATGATGGGTAGGGTTGTTAAACGTTTATTGTTTTGCTCGGCTTCCTGTTTGAAGGATACATGATGGGAGCCTTCAGTAGACTTGCTTTCTGATGTTAATCAAAATTTTGTTTGGTCTAATCAATTTCTAAATGTTAAAGTTTGAATTAATTTAAATTTATGCATTGTCATAAAATATTTGTGTTATAGTTTATAGCAGGCCTGCCAAATGTTAGAATCCATATCAGCTGGTGGGCCAGAAATTTCGCTGGAGCCGTTTTTAACGTATCTCCAATCACATTATCCGATTTGGGCCAAAAGTAATCAAATTTCGTACCTAATATTTTTTACAATTGTTTGTATAAATTCAGAAATTTAATACAAATGTCTATATTGATCCTAGCATGCTAATTTTCCACGAGCTAACAGAGCCCAAAAATTTGAAATTTGGTTTAATGAAAAACTTGAAATTGTTGCATAAATCTGCAAACATGATTCCAAGTTTTCGGCTGACAAAGATGAACGAGATTAGAACAACCCGCGGGTCGGATGCGAAGACTTTTTCTAAGCTCGTTGCGGGCCGCACAAAAAGAGACCGCGGGCCATTCGTTGGGCAGGCCTGGTTTATAGAGTTATAGATGGAAGAATGCTGGCAAATCAGTTTCGTTTATAAGGTTGTTTTATTACAGTTGATGTTAGAATTGTATCGTTTCAGAAGCAGCTAATCCAATTAATAAATCATGGAAACGTACGATAGAATTAAAATCGATAATAGAATCGTGAAATTTTCGCATGTAAAATATCTCGAGATTCTGATCAGATATATATCGCTAGTGGACAGTTGTTCAAAATTTTCTCACTACGTAGCGCTAGAATACACGTGAAATTCTCGCATGTCGTTTGTTGCGAGATCCTGACCAGATAGAAAGTTACTGTCATCGACAAAGTTGTTCAGGAGGCCTATTGCTTGGTGTACAATAGTTGAGAATTTTCTAAGCGGCGCTAGTATACACGTGAAATTTTCACATATAAAATATCACGAGATCCTGACCAAATAGCTGTCTTCGGCAAAGTTGTTCAGGAGGTCAAGGTCTTTTGGCTGGTTGGCAGCAATTCAATTTTTTTTTCACATCATTGCGCTTGTATACACGTGTAATTCTCGCATTAGATGTATTTCGAGACCTGCTAAACTGTCATCGGCAAAGTTGTCCAGGAGATCAAAACTTTTTCGTTGGTTGACAGTACAGAATTTTCTCACCACGTGGCGCTCGACATCTTGAACAGCTAGAAATTTACTGTATTTGGCAAAGCTGTTGAGGAGATAAAGATCTTTTGGCTGATGAACAGTAGTTCAGAAATGACTCAAAACTTGGCGGGCAATTCTCGCATATCAAATATCATAAAATAAAAATACAATTTACATCAGCTTATGTGGGATGAGACAAATATATTCTGGATTTTCATGTAGATTTATGGATACATAAATTGGGGTGAGTCGTTCCACTTGTGTATCTCTGATAAATTAGTGGTAACACGTATCTCAGAGGGAAAACATTATCTTAAAAGATCAATATCGCTGAAACTTCCATCAAACTAATGTTTAGAGTCTCCCTTTCATTTAAGGCTAATTTAAAATGTTTATCGAGGGGTCTAGAACAAAAAAAAAATCCCTGTATTTACGTGTGCACGGACAACGAGACTAACTCAGAGAGTGAGGTACTTTTGCTCAGTTGAATAGAGAAATTTATAAAACCGCACACTCCCGATCATAAGTTTAAGGACACGCCCTAAAAACGTCCAATTTTCGTTCTTTCTAGACCATTTTGAAGATTTTGAATGGAAATACGAAAAGGCAAATTGCTCAAACTTTATCTACCAAAGGTTCACCCATAGTTACACTATTTTTTATAATTTATTCTGAAGAATCATGATTGATTTTCTCAGAATTGACTTGAAAAAAATTGAAATTAAAAGAAGTAGTAGAACCCTTATACTATACCATTCATACCATTCAAATAACCTAAAGAGATCAAAAATTGGACGTAAAATGAGAGAGCTTTGAACAAAACACATTTGCATGCTCACCATCCGGAAGAACTTTGCCGCATGTACAACTTTGACGATAACAGTTACTTCTTGACCTTAAGCTATAGCATATACAAATATTTTACATGCACACTAGCGCCGCATAGTGAAAATATTCTGAACTATTTACTGTTCACCAGCAAAAAAGCTTTGATCTCCTAAACAACTTTGCCGAAGACAGTAATTTTCAAGCTGTTCGGGATCTCGAGCTGTAGCATATATGAGGATTGCACGTGTATACTAGCGCACCGCAGTGAGAAAATTCTGAACTACTGTCCACCAGCCAAAAGACCTTGACCTCCTGAACAACTTTGTCGTAGACAGTAACTTTCTATCTGGTCAGAATCTCGAGATATAGCACATGCGCCACGTGGTGAGAAAATTCTTAACTACTGTTTACCAGCCCAAAATTCTTGACTCCCTAAACAACTTTACCGAAGACAGCAACTTTCTAGCTGATCAAGATATCGAGCTATTGAATATGCGAGAAAGGCATTTATATACTAGCGCCGCTTAGTGTGAAAATTCTGAACTATTGTAACCCAAAAAAAAAAATCTTGAATTCCTGAAAAACTTTGCCGAATACATTTACTTTCTATTTGGTCATGATCTAGAGATATTTTATATGCAAGAGTTTCACATGTATAGTAGCGCCGCAAAGTGAGAAAACTCTGAACTACTGTCCAGCTGCGAAAAAACCTTGACCTCCTGAACAACTATGCCGAAGACAGTACCTTTATGTCTGGTTGGGAACTCGAGATATTTTATAAGAGAATTTAACGTGTATACTAGCGTCGCATAGTGAGAAAATTCTGAACTTTTGAGCACCAAGCAATAGGCTTTGACCTCCTGAATAAATTTGTGAAAGACAGTAATTTTCTATCTGGTCAGGATCTCGAGATATATCACATGCGAGAATTTCACATGTAAACTAGCGCTACGTAGTGAGAAAATTCTGAACTACTGTCCGACAGCGACAAGGCTATGATCTCCTGAACAACTTTGTCGAAGATAGTAACTTTCTATCTGGTCAGGATCTCGATATATTCCATGTTGTAATCAATTAAGTCAAATCCCGCGTAGTATGGTAATAGTTTACGCGGTTTCCATTTACATTTTCCCTATTATCCGCATTTTTAGGTGTTTACTGCAATCAAAGTTTAGCTTATTTAGATCAAAACAAGTTTTTAGAGGAATACTCGTTGGTTTCAGATCGATTGGTAACGCAGCAACGAAATGGCAATGGAAAGCTCATGTGTGTTGTACAAAGTACAACAGCGCGAGTAACGGAGGGTTAATAATGCAGTCAGTGTCACTCGTTCCGGCATTTTAGTTCTTCTAAATTCACTTCCTACCTTTCTAATCCCAAGCAGCGGCAGCAGTAGAGACAAAGTAAAGGAGCTTTTTAGGAAAACGCTCCAGGTAGAAGTAGGCTGCGACAACGTCGGAAGCATTAACAATTGTATTTCTGTGGTTTGACTGCTATATTGCACTGAACTTTTAGACAGATATCCAAAAATATAACTCAATTATAGCCCTAAATCGAAATAAATCGCTTACTTGTGTCTACATTGCGTTATCTTCACTTGAAAATGAGATGAGCTGTGTAATACTATTTGGTTGCTGTTATTCAACTTAAATTTGACGTGTTTCAATTTTTTTTCCGTGTTGGGTGTATTCATCACTGCGACCATTACTTTGGTCTATTGTGATATTCCCCGTTTTAATATTGCTTTATCAGTTATGTCGTAACACTATTTTGTGAAGCGACCGACATAGACTGACCAAAAGCATTTTCCCAGCCAGGTATTACATTTCGAATGAAATGTACTACTTTACTGGGACCTGCATTCCAAATATCAAAGGGTTCTGCCAGCCCCTTATCCAGAAGAATACGCCTTTTATTGAAGATTGCTGCACAAGAGCATAGCAGGTGTTCAGAGTCTTCCTTTTCTATACCACAGAAACAGAATCGACACATATCCTCTTGAAGTTTTCCTATTAGCTTCAAATGATATTTACATGGACAATGTCCTGTTATCAAATCAGTATAGACACTGAGATCTTTCTTTGATAATTCAAGAATTTTGCTAGTCATTGAAATGTTCGGAATTATGAACCGTTTCGACTGCCTAGCAATGGAAGTGTTGTTCCAATTGGTCTCCACTTTCATTTTTTTCCATTTCTTGATCTCCATTTTGAGAGAACAAGTAGAAACTCCACAGAATGGTTCTGGTCCTATGAATTGCTGTGATGATCCTAGCCTGGCTAACGTATCGGCTTTTTCATTCCCTTCAATTCCACAGTGGCCAGGAACCCAATATAAGTTTACTTGGTTTTGACAGGCCAATTTCTGAAGTGACATTGCAC